TGTTTATGGCACCCGTCCTGTGGGTGTCATCAAGCAATAAAACCGCTTGACTGTAAGGTCGTTGCAAAGAACAAGGCAGTCAAGTTCTATGTTGAAAACTCTCAGAGCAAATTTTTTTTTCTGATTTTTTTTAATTTTTCATTTTTTTTAGCTCACTGAAATGAGATTTGTTATCACAAGTCTGGTTTTCTGTTCATAATTTCTTCTCACGTTTGTCTCTTTCAAAATCTTAAGGCTAGATTATAGTAGGGGTCAAGTTTCTTCTAAGTATTTAATGGAGCGTTTTCAGGCTGAAAAATGAATTTGAATGAAGTGAATGAAATTAATTCTTAAAGACTGTAACAAACTTGCTTATACACCACATCTTAATACTGACGGTCCTGTGACACAGCACCCCTCTTAAATGTGACGCTTCAACATCCCTTTGATAATTACAACGATGCCTATCAAAGTGTTCTTGTGTAAGCAATGTGTGCATCTTCTATATTTTGATTATGTTTAATTGGATAGATGAGGATGAAGGGCAACTTCCTCTTTCATTCTCCTTTCTTGTATGTTCTGTTATCACCTAGAAAGGGAGTTCTTTCTATGGTCCATACACATGCCTCTCTTGCTTCTTGTTTCCTGTTGGTTATGAAAACAAAATGGTGATGCAGCACAGGAATGTTTGTACTGAGGCAGGCTTTTTTCTTTTCCTTCTTTCTTTCTTCTCCCCAGCAAGTCACACATTACTATATACAGAGTACAACTATATGCCCACAGCTGGGAGAATACTAACATTGCTTCAACACTGTTAGTGATTGTTACAAAATTTGTGCACCACCTATACCAGGAAAAATCTCGTATTCCCTTTTCATGTGGGAGTGTTTTTATTTATTTTCTCCTTGTATTGGAAAATAAGGGAAATTCACAAACCTGTACTGATTAATACTTCATGTAGTGGGATTAATCTTAAAATGTGGTGTTACTGTGCTGTGATAAATGTGATGCAAAGAGGACCTTGAGATCAGTGTAGTGGACTGAAAGAAATTTAAAGTGGCTTTTCATTGTTCTGTACATTTAATTTTTACATGCTGAAATATCTGAAAATTTCTGTAATCTTTTGTAAGAATGAACAAGAGTAGTCAACTTAATGTTTCTGAAATTCCATCTCTAATTGCATATATGTTGTTAAACCTGCAACAGATAACTGCATTTGAGTGAACTATGTACAGTTAATCTTGCTTTTTTCCTTTTTATTTTTTTATTTTTCCTCCCTCCCCCCTGTAGATTACCAAAGTGGCCTTGGAATACCACAACTGTAATAAAAGCCAGGTAGCTGAGCCAGATCTTCAACGTTTAGGAGACACTGATTCACCAGCTGTTGATTCCTCTGTACCAGATGCACATATGAAATACTCAGAAACTTTTTCAATAACCAAGTACCCATGTTGTAACACAGTGGTGCTTCCGCAGTGGCATTCAATATCTAGAACTCACAATGTCTGTGAGCTTTGCATTAACCAGACACTTGGTGTCAAACCAAATAAAGTCCATGTGCCACACTGCAACTTTTTAGAGATAGAAGCAGCTTTGGACTCTTTCTACCTCCAGGAACATACCTTTTTTCAAGTTGTATCAAATACCTTAGAATGCAGCAATTTCTTAAGTTTCTATAGCCCCTTTAGCTATTACACTGCATGTTGCAGGACGGTAAACAGGCATTTTTTAAGTTTCATTAGTTCTGAGAAGACCATCTTTCAGACCCCCAAAGTAGCATTTTCTTCCCATGGGAAGAAAGGTAACACCCAGCATTCTATTCCTCACATTGAGGATAGGAATTGTTTTATTCCTGACCTTCATATTAGTGGCACTAACTTTACTGGTCTGAGCTGCAGGACCAACAAAACCTTGAATCTTTATCTACTGGATTCAAATCTTTTTTGGATATACGCAGAGAGACTAGGAGCATCAAGATCTACTCATCTGAAGGAATTTGCCACCATTGTTGACCTGAAAGAAGAAGTGCACTACGTCCTGGATCAAAACCAGTCACTTGTTGGATCTACCCTGGGTATGGTGTCCACTTCAGAAATGCTTGAAATAAGAAAACTAAGTTCGCAAGTAAACTTACAAGTGGATAACTTAACGCCATTTTGAAAATGACTGCTTTTAAAGTGAGACTATAGTCAACACTATGAATCATTTAATTTATTCTGTTCTAATTTATTTAGTAGTTAACGAAGCAGTGGAATCATGTTCTAGATGACGTAAGAACTAAGGTTCATATGCTAAAAGTAATTTGCTTTTAAAAGAAGTGACACTCAAAATATTTGATTCTTGACTGCCTGATATATTGAAGGAATTGGTAAAATCTAATCTAATTTGCTTGTGGAAAAAAAAACCTACTATGCATCTAACACATTTGGTATTACAGAAGGCATCTGTATATTAATGGTGGTGTTGGTGTTTGCTCAGCAGTGTTCCATGTCCTAAAATATCACAGAATTTCATAAGATACTGCCCACTTATCAGCAGAGACTAGCCCTTCCTCTTGTCCTCTGAAACCAACTTATAAATCGTTGTAAATTTATTTTGAAAAGTATGTCTGTTTTCAAGGTTGAGCTCTGAAGTGGTTTTGGCCAAATCTGTCAATAGTCTATTTCCTGGCTGAATTGGAGGCGGAAAAAACCCACAAAAAAACCCCAAACCCAACCCAGTGATCACAGTTCTGATTTATTTGCAAGTTATTGAATAAGACACAACATGCCTAACCTTATGCATTTACCTATCATGATGATGTGCAAAACTGAGTCCACCTTCAGAAAATGCAGGGTTTTTTAATGTTAGCAATGTAAATAGGTAAGTCAGTTCAGGTGAACATAGTATTAAATTGTTCAAGAACACATATTAATCTTATTTTTATAGCATTAATTACATTTCCATTTTACCATAAATCTGTAAGTAGAAAATTATGCACAACGTAAGAACAAATAGCTATGTGCATATTAAGGATCCTGTCCAGCCCTGTAGCCTGTCTCCATCCCACTCCCCCGCAAAAACACTCTGGAAAAACAAACAAAACGCCCCATGACCATGAAAGGATGCTTAGGAAGAATTAAGATCAGAGTGAGGAGATACAAATTTCCTTCCCCTTTCTGCTCCCAGGAATTTCTGTCTCAGACTTTTTTGAGGTCACAGGATTTCCTGAGCTGATGAGGCTTTCTCTGCTGAGTAACATTCAGTGTATTTCTGTTCTAAGTCATTTGAACTTCCGGAAAATTTTTGCTTCAACATATTTTGTCAGGGAGTCACTGTGATGTACGTTTGGGTTTAGTGGGTTTTTAAAACTTCTATTTTACTTCCTTAAACCTCCTAACTTTTTGTATTTTAAAATAACAAAACAGATTTGTGTTTAATACCTTCAACAGATTTCAGTTTTTACAGATGGTTTCTGAAAATTCAGGAGTATGTCTTTTAATTAGCCCCTTCTTTCAGTTAATACTTAATTGTGCAGATATTCCAAATCTGGAGATCTAGAAAGAAAAAAACCTGGTTTGGTCTGGTGTGAGAATTTAATGAAGTACTGAATAGTAAATATAAAATGAAATGTACTGCTGTCTGACCTTGGTGCCAGGGAAGGTTATGGTCAGATCATCCTGAGTGCTGTCATCATAGGACAACCAGGTGATCGGGCCCAGTCAGCATGGGTTTATGAAGGGCAGATCCTGCTTGATTAACCTGATCTCCTATGGCAAGCTGACCCACTTAGTGGATAAGGGAAAGGCTGT